AATTAATCAGCAATAAAATTAGTGTTAAGATTTTAGTTTCCTTGTGAGGAATTATCTTTCTCCTTTTATATGAATAATTGATGGGAATTAAGGGGCAAAGAAGGGTATGATTATTTCTACTGTATAAAATATTTCTCTCAAGATTCAACAACAATTTCCTCACAGAAATTGCTTTGATAAACTAGTAATTTCTTTCTTTGCATATTCCATGTGAACTTAATAGAACAAATAGTCCCTAAACCTAAAGTCACATAATATATTTGTCTGTAAAGATGTCCCAAACTATTTCCTTTAAGAAGGAAAACAGGAGAGAGAAAAATATGATCCACATTTCTGAAAGGGAGCTTTTCCACTTCCTCTCCCATGCCTATTTTAAGTCAGTTGAGCTATTTCTGGAAACAGATATAGCACTTTTTATAAAAGTGCTAAGATGGTGTCACAAAAAAAAAAAAAAAACAGAACAAAAAAGCCTGACAGGATTAGCTGGAAGGAGCTATGTAGCAAGTGAACTCCATTTTCAAAGGATGTTCACAAAGTTCAGTGTTCAACAAATCCTGTTATGAACGGCAATGCACAGAAATAGCTATTGGAAAGGCCATGGAGAATATGCACACAATATGGGCTTTTGGATTTTGCGGCTGTTATTGCCTAGGCACAATATCAACAGTCATTATCATGTCCTCTGATGAATTTTTTTCAGTCAGTATTCCATAATAATAAAGCAGAGATTTGGAATCAATGAAATGACTGGCACAAGAAAGAGCAATTGTATAAACTATGCTCTATTTTGTTGTATTACAAACTAAATTCATGTGATATCATGGTGTGCCACATTTGGATAAAATGCACAAGTAGATTAGTAATTTTATTCTGATATATCGGAAGGCAGCTGTTATGAACAGAGATTGGTGTTCACATTAATGATAAAGAAAACAGGAGCTTTTGTTTTTGTTGCAGTGAAAAAATGTCTCTACGGTATTTGTTGTACAGGTGGTCCTCAATTTATGACCATTTGTTCAGTTCAGTGACTGGTCAAAGCTACGATGGTTCTGAAAGAGCCGGTTTATGGACAATCCTTGAATTTATGGCTGTTGCAGTATTTTAGAGCAGCACACTGTTCAGGCAATTCTTATTTCTCTTCACCTACTGCACATTTATCATATAAAAGCGGTTGGATGAAATATGTGAAAATTGAGCTTTTGTTTTCATTTAAGATTTCCTACAGCCTGAAATCCATGAAATTACCAAAATATGAATATCATAAGGCCAGCAGTTCACTTGGCATGAACATAAAACATATGTATAGTCTTCATTTTTTAAAAATCAAAGCAACATTTAGAGCTATGAATACGTTAACAATAGTAAATCCAATAGATTAGATGATTCAAGTTACAACTATAATTACTATTTCTATTTGATATGTACCTATTTTATTACTGAATTAGCATTCATTCAGAGAACATAATCATCCAGATCAAATGGATAATTAACAGAAACACAATAATGCATTTTTCATATTAGATGATAAAAAGGTTTTATACTTCTACACTTTTATTCAGAAGAGTGCAGATGAGTGGTATGTGATGGGATGGCTAAGGATAATGGTATTTCATCATCCCCAGTAGCCAGCATGATTAAGAACAAGAATATATAGGAGTTGTAGTCAATCCATATGCATTTAATCTGACTGAAATGTTAGAATAATTTGAATTGAATTCTAATATGAGCAAGAAACAATTAAGTAGCAGAAAATTATTCCTGGAGTAAGTCTTAAATATAAAATCCATAGTATTCAGACACCCAAAACTTCTTGTGTGTCAGACCATATTTTAGCAGCAGAATATATTTAGGAGCTAAAATTAAGAAAAATAAATTATGGGATGTTATTTCTATTCACCAGCTTGGTTGATTTTATAAAGTAGAAAGATATTATAAATGTTTCAAAATAAGCAAATAGTGTGAAGCTGCTATATGCATGTTCATGTATCTATGAAGATACAGGATGGACAAAACATTTGGATATGTTCACCGCCTTGAATTATTTGTAAAAAATAATAAAGGTGAGATATACATAAACAAACAAATAAATTCTCCTAATAGAAATGATTGTTCATGGATATAAAAACACAGCATTTGTATGATAAAACAGACATGATTTGTATGATAAAACTAACATTTTTAATAATAATAAAAATGCCAAATATAAACTTCTGTTTGATTATGCAATGAACCATAACAACATTAACAAGCAGCTGTCATACAACACCCCAAACTTAGCAATGATTGATAAGACAAAAAATCTGAATAATGGACATCAATACTGTGAGACAGCAGAAGTAGAAGAGAAAGAATTGAGGGGGGGGAAATCACAAAATGTAAAGACCTGCAAATAGAAGTAGAATGACTGTGAAAAAAGAAAGCAAAGATATCCACAGTAATAAGGGTCTTGGGTGCAATTCCAAAACTTCTGAAGCAGCACTGTAATACCACTGGCACTGACAGCCATCAGTCAATTGCAAAGGCAGCTTTACTAGGAACATGCTATGAAAACATTTTTAACATCATCAAACAACAATATCTGTCTTGGGAGGGACATGATAGATGGATAAAAGTGCCAAATTCAATATCAACATCTGGTTGACTGTGCAACAAATCAAAATAACAATAATTTAGGAGCATAGGAAGGTGAACATTCTGTCAGTAAAAAAAACAACAAGATTTTTTTTTAAAGACATTTCCTGCCTTTCAGATTTTTATTTAACCTGACCAGTCTTTCCTTGTTCCCTTCATTTAGTCATAATTATTCTGCCTAGCAGAACTTTCTTGGAGCCTTCTAGTACTCATATTACTCATATGGTAATTATAAGTTTGACACTCACTTTTTTTCTTTCAGAACTAATGAATCAATGCAATTAGCAGCAAAGAACACAAAAATATTTTCTAATACTTTATCATGATAAACACATTTTAAAAATCATGTAATTTCCCTACTGGGAAGTCAACTGTCTTCAGAATTACTGTATATCTGAGATGATAAACTGTAATAAGGATGCCTTTGGATTTGCTTTGTTAATAAACATGAAACTTTCATTCCTTTTGCCTCCACAAATCTGTTAAACTTGGACATTTTTAATTTAGGTAGATAATTAAAAGGAGTCATGGAAAGCAACTTACAAGTGAATATTATAATTTTTAGCAACTGAAGATGGGATTTCCCTAATGCACATATTTTGAATGTAGTCATGTTTATGAAAACTGTTCTGTAATTTATGATGTTAATACCAACCAAGTTGGGCTTATTTAATGAAAAAATACAGTAAAACATCTTGACTAAACTTTGATGCCAGGGCCAATATAATGGTAAATTGCTTTAGAACCCCACCCTCCCAACATAACTTGTTCATTCATAACCCAGATTTAGCTCAGAGTAATTTACATAAATAAATAGGTTGAAGTCATTATATGCTTGAAGGATGCCACCAATATGTCAGAGATTTCAAGCATCTTTTTTACAAAGATTTCTTGTCAGAGTTATGACTATAACTGATCATAATCTCATTTATACACCTTTTCCCCATGGAATTGTCTGTTGAAAACTGATAACAGAAAAAGTAATTAGAACGTGAATAATGAAATATAATTTCTACTATATTAAGGAAAATATGTCAACAACTATCATATTCTGAAATAAAATTAAATTCTCATTATTGTATGTATGTTTCTGCCAGCAGAAATAAATAAATGAAAATAAATGAAAACTATCAGGCAGAGAGATGAAAGTGAAGTATAGAAAGCAAGACCAAAGTCTTTCAAAAATATTATTTAAATTATCACAATATTATTATTAACAAATATCAAAATGTACCTAACTACTTAGTACAAAAGTTGTATAAAAATATTTAGTGATCTTATTTTTTGCATGAAGTGCCCAGTAGAAACAAAAAAGGCCTTACAAGATTTATACCTTCCAACCTTATAAAGAAACAACAGCAGCAAAAAAGAAAAAAGAAAAATTGGAAGTCACATTTACATTTTATCCATACCAGGAAACTTACATTATTAAATGTAATACATTGTTTATATAATATTTGTATATTATTTTTAGAAGAAAATGATTCTGATTGAAATATATTTATTATTAATGTATTATTAATGTATTATTATTAATATATTATTATTAATTATTATTTATTATTAATGTATTATTAATAAATAAATATAACTAAGGGGAAAATGCATATCTTCTCTTTTTGGAGTGCTAATTCTTTGCTAATTTAATGCTTTTCTGACAGCATGAAATAATCTTGTTTGATATTACCAATGTTTTCTATATAGTCACAAATCAATTATGTATTCTGATAATCAAAGTAATATTTTATCTAAGAGTGCTACATCATAATGTAGAATACTCAAGCTAAGCAATGAACAGTGCATTACCAAAATTTATTTTCCCACACAAGATACAAATAAGTAAATACTGGAAAGATTTCTGGTAAAGCAAGCATCAAAAATTCAAAAAGATCAGCAGAAATTAAGTTCTGAAGATAAGTATTTCCACACTTTTTCTCCAAAGGTATCCTTTGTGATTTTGTAAAACATGTATTTTCTTTAGGGAACATGATAGGTATCAAAAAATAATAGCATTTTATCATACATTTGTACACAACGAATGAATTAGGATTTCAAGGAAATGCAATGGAAAGCAGCATATCATTGTTCAGTAACTCACTGACCAAGTTGCCATGTAAGAGTGGCAGATTGAATTGAAAATAATTACTACTCTCAGTAGAAAATATCTGCATTTTAAATAGGCTACCAATAGGCAAATCCAAAGAATCCTCCTAGTATGTTTCTTTAATAGAATCCATATAGAAAAGTAGAAATTACCTTTCATTGTGTTTGGCTTCTTAAAAATGCAATCAGAATAAGTACTAATACATTGATTTTTCTTCAACAAGCAAATGTATTTGGTGTTTTATTCAAAGTTCATGCCAACCTACTTTTTCTTTAGTCTTCGGTCTTTTTCTGCCTGGGTTCCAAGTTTGCTTAATCCCAGAGATTCTTGTGCTGCAGCCTCAGTTTCCATATAGCCTCCTGTGTTTAAAACAGCAAAGAGATTTTCTATCTTTATTTTTTAAATAATGTTACCAGACGTGCTTTTGATTTGTTTTCTGAGACACATATATACTGGTAAAAACGGTAACCTGAAATCTATGAAAAATAAAACTTAAGAATGTAGATTCCACAAATAACTTTTAAAAGTGCTCATGATTTTCCCCTCTTTGTTTTCCTGTAAGCAAGGTTCAAATATTTTCTCCTTAGTCAGGTTTTCTCATGTCCTAATTTGACTTTCTAAAAAAGACAAGAAGCCCTTTCAAGCCAAAATGACTGTTTTGGGCAGAAGGAATATTAAAATAGCATTGTTTAGCATTCTACAAGGTGCAATGACAATAAACCAAACTAAACTAAACCAGTCACTTAATGATGGTTTGAATTACAACAGACCCCAAAGAGCTACCTATGACCCAACTGTGAAGTTGCTGTGGTTAGCTGGTAGAAGGTACAGATGGCTGAGGATAGCGAGGACTCAGATGAGGGACCAGGACCATTAGGAAGTGGACTGCTGCCTTCAGAGATTGTGGGGGCTGGCAGCAGTGATGAGGAGGTTTCCGAGGAGGTTTCCGAGGAGGTTTCCGAGGAGCCTGTGCCAAGTGCACACAGAGCTGCTCGTAGGAAAAAACAGCTGCAGCAGCACGGGTGACTCGTGAGTAAGACTGCAAGGTAATGACCCCTCCTTCAAGAAGATAAAAGCCAGCTGCGAATCAGACATTCTTTGTAGGAAGCAAAAATGTTCTGAAACTCCAGCCTCGTGGACATTGCAGTACCTTAGTTAGTATTTGAAGACTCTTGTGTTGTGAAATATTTCTTATCTGTGATTCTTGGCAGTCTCGCACAGTTTTGGCAAGGTTTGTGCTTATCAAAGTTAATTAGTTTGCAGCAGCTTTTTAACCGGGGATTCATAAGACCCATTAAAAGTTTCTGTTCCCTTTGGTTATTGTTTGTTTTATTGGAAAAGGATTGGGGTCAGAACAGAAGTTCCAACAGCAACATTCTCCTATCCTTTCCATAGATGCTGCCCAGGTAGATGCACCATATAAAATAGACAAGAATATAAAATGTTACATGAATAGTGACTACAGATATTAGAAAATAAATCATAATTTTTACATCACTCCATATAGTTATTGTAGTTAAATGATAAGTACGTTTATCTCTGCTGTCAATGTTTATTTAATGGCACTATAGAACATTCTATTTTATTATTTTACAAATGAGAATGCATTCTAACTAATTTATTCTTTGATTTTCCACTGCAGCTATTTTTAAGTTCTGAGTAAATAATCAATACTGGGGCCATTAAATTGTATTGTACTATACTACACTTTATGACAAAACTATATATCAATGTGAGATGGAAAACTATACAAATATGATAAATAAAGCTTTATGTTAGAGTTATGCAAATTCTTCAAGAAAGATATAAAGTAGCCAATTCTTTTTCCAAGTTGTTTTTAATTTAAGAAAAATGAAAAATTTGACAAATCTTGCCAAATAAGTGATGGGTGATGTGTGAAATCTATTTTCTATCAAAATTCTTTATAAGCTAGAGTCAGTTAATAGCTCATGTCACACTTGTCACATATTTTTTCTAATTGCTATCCAAGTTTTATTCTGTGTGATTTTTAAAGATGAGCAGATTTACCTGTGAATGGAATCTTTTCATAAACTGTAAAGGAAACTTAATTTTTGGAATTCTTGATGTTCTCTGAGCTAGATTATTTACTTGCAGCCATTTCACTATCTGGGGAAGTCAGATTTACTTAACAACCAGATTTACTTAACAACTTAACAACTGCAGTGATTTGCTTAACAATTGTAGCAACAAAGGTTGTAAAATGTAGCAAAATTCACTTAAATGCCTCATTCAGCAACAGAAATTTTTGCTTCAATTGTGGTTAGAAGTTGAGGTCTATCTGTACACTGCCTAGTTGGGTAATAAAACAATCAAGTTCAGAGAGCCCCAAGGACTCACAGCTCAACCCTGAGCTATATTCTCTTCCATTGAAAGCTTAATCTATGTCCTTTAATGACTTAACAAAATATAATTCTATGAAAGTAAATATGATTGATGACAGCAGAATGGCATGGGAAAAAAACATAACCATTTTAAAAGGCAGAAAAGCAAATTGAAAGAGAAGCTAAAGCATTTATGAAAGATTAAAAAAATAATACTTTTTTAAAAAATCACTGGAAAGTTATGATCTGAACCTGGAGAACTATGTCTTACTTAGCTGTCCAAGTCGTGCCTTCTCTTTTTTACCAAACAAGCGTCCAATTGAAGACTTTATTCCTTTCTTCTTGGGAGTTTTGTGCAAGGAATCCTGGCTGCTATTGACACTGCCAAAGCCAATACTTTCTGGTTCCAAGGATGCAGTCAAACTACTAAAGACACACACAAAAACAGAGAAACTATTATTGTCCTGATTAAGTCCCATCATGAAGTCCACAACTTGTCTGCTGTGGAAACAAGTTTTATGAAATCTAATGAGAATGTCTTGGTAATTGGAAACAATAATCAAATAAATTTCTGATATATAGTGTGATAATACCATAATCTTTCTGGTATTATCACCATATTTAGAACTGCACATTTTTTATGTTTTACTCTTGATTAAAATAATTGAATAAAAAGACAGATATAATTAATCAAAACTTTGTTAATGTAAGTATGGCTAGAAAGATTTTAGAATGCTTTTGATACGAACCAAATGTTGAATTAAATGGTGTCTAAGCAATGACTACCACTATTACTATTGCTTTGATCTTATCTACCCTAATAGGTGAAGTAACTAACAACTATTTTCTCCAGTAGTTTTCATGTAAAATAAGTTTCTGATATAATTATATTACCCTCCAAAAAATTACCTTTCTGTGGCAAAAATTTACCTTTCTGTGGCAAGGATATACAGATACAAGACAGCAAAAGCTCCAAACTTAGGCTTGCCATCATGCAATATTTAATGATTCAATTAGGATGAAAAGTGAAAATAATTATAGTACTTTTTTTTTTACACTCAAACGTAAGTTCTTATACAAAAACCCTTCTACTATGGATTATTGTTATAAATTATGAAAGAACAAAAAAGTTTAAATCAATTTTATTGTTATTATTTTTCAAATGCTATTTTTTAAAATTATTCCTTCCAATTTCTGAATTTGCTAGGCATCTCTCCACTTTCTCCAGGCCCTTTTTCCTTACTAGGATTGAATTACTGTTTTTCCCTTGAGATGAGAAACTTCTTTCTCTGATTACTTCAGAAATATCTTCTTTCCACTGCTAATTCCTCACCACCAAAAATCCATGTGTAAAATACTGACTGAACTGGCTATAACACAGTATCCAAATATTAAAAGCCTATCATTTAACTATCTTCATAACAAGTGACATGGATAACTTGCACAATGAATTATAATTACACTCTGATTTGTTCATTTATAATCCATGACAAGAAAATATCAGAAAATGATCATGCCTCACTTGATTAATCAAAAAGGGCATGAAATTAAAGACCAGTCTTTCAATTGGAAATGGAAAATGGAAAGCATATCTGAAAAACTGATCTGAATAAATGTCAGGAAAATTGCACATAGCAAAAGTCATGTGAAACTCAACTTGAAACTTAAATGGATGAATCCACTTAAAAGATACACAATACATGGCTATGCCAAACAAATGAATTCCTACCTTCTGGCATCATTGTGATATGATGAAGGTAGAGTGTGAGTCATTCTAATAGCTCTAGGTGTAGGTGGAGGAGACGTTTCACATTTTATTGTGGCCTTGTCTTCATGACCATCGTCTTCAACTACTGCAATCTACAAGTAAACAGTTTTATAAAATGTAGGTGAAAAACAGTTTTATAAAATGCAGGGGCTGGGAAGAAAAAAAACTATTGGAAAGTCAACTCCTTTCCAAGTAAGGCAATCAATCAACCAAACACACAAATGACATTCCATCCTAGAACAAGATATAGAATAAAAGTGCTAAGTACAAATTATACAATGATAGTTATATAGTTCCAATTTCCAGGACTGAATATGACATCAGGCACACATTTAACTATTGCTATAGTTGCTATTGTTATTATTTAATTCAGAAAATTATAGACCGTTTTCCTGAGTTGGAGAGGATATGCAAAGTAGGATATAAGTGGAAATAAAGTTTATTTAACCTTTTCTCATCTTTAAATCTTAATAAAGGACTAAATACCAAGATTCAAATGAGTTATTGAAGTATTTTTGTTGCCCTTTAATAAATGAGTGAATGGTACACTCATTTATTGGCCAAGTGTGATTATTGGCCAAGTGTGATTAGACACACAAGGATATTTGTCTTGGTGCATATCCTCTTAGTGTACATAAAAAAGAAAACTTTACCATTCAGATAAATAATGTTTGAAGTAAAATGGACATGTTGGTAGATAAAATTGGTCCCTCATATACTTGGACTTTTCTGTGAATCTAATATAGGTTGTCCTTTAGTTAAAACTATACTGGAGCCTGCCTATTATGGTTGCAAATGGTGATGGCCATTTAGTGAGGTGGCCTTGCTTAACAAATGAGGTGGCCTCGTTTAACAATCTAACCCTCTGCTCTTGATCAGCTTTCTTCTTTCTTTGCCTTGTAACAAATTCAATGCTATTCTGCAATAGGTAGTATTTTTGTGATACTGTAGAGCAGGGTTGTCAAACTCACGTCTAATTTATTTTGGTTCAATTTTGAGAATGACATTCTTGAACTTGTTGGCTTTTAGCTAATATTGTTATTTTTGAATGAAATTTATTGTGTGTTTTTCATCACTAAAAAAAATTAAAGCAAAGTTAGAGCATAATAAAAGTAATAAAACCAGAAACATTTATATCATATTAAACAATTTTACTGCTAGAATAGGGGAGGCAACAGTAGGGAAATTATCAGTCATTAAATAGCGTATACAAAAGTCCATCAACATAAAGAGGCTGAGGAAGCACACAAAGAGACTTGATCTGGCCACTATTTCTCAGACCAACATAACTCACAAAATATTAATTGGGAAAAAACACTTCCATGGAAAAGGTGAGATATGTTTAATAAATACAGTATAAAAATATCAAAAATATTTTTATGCTGTCACATAAGTAATTTCTAATAGAGGTGACACTTAAACACTTTGATAGGGCTCCATTTTGTTACAAATCTAAGGTCCAATGTGGCTTTCCTGAGAAGGTGATGTCTGCCTCACAATGATCTTTTCTTGGATCATCCAAATTAGCTGCTTCAACTACAACAAAGCAAAAGGGTTGGGACTTGAAGGCTTTCCACATCCTCAGAAAACTGTATCTTGGGGAAAATGTTTGTAAAGGTTTGAATTTGAAAGTGCTAGAAATAATTAACCCTTGTCTGAAAAAAAAACAAATATATATAATTAAATATGTACCTTTCTTCGATGTTTCCTGAGATCACTTGGCTAGAGTTGATAACGAAGAAAAGAAAAACAGAGTATTATCAGAAATATAGATTTGTATAAATCTTGTGTTCCTTTTTTATTAAGATTCATTCTGAGATTCTCTAAGTCCATAAGAACTATTGGCTCTTTTGATGAAATTTCCTTCCATTACACCAGCCCTACTGCCATTGAATCCAAATCAGAATTTGGCTGGAACTCAAGGAGGTAGACCAGACTGGGTTTTCACTTACATGTATACTAGAACCTCTGGTCATGACCATAATTCATTCCATAACTTTGGTTGCAACCTGATTTGGTTGTGACCCAAACCTAATTTTAGAAATTTGGCACTCACAAAAAAATGGTGCAGAAGGGGAAATTGGCCGTGAAAAAAAATGTGAATTTTTTGGTCGGAACTTGATTTGGTTGTGGTCAGAAGCATTTCTGACAGAGGTTCTACTGTATAGTTTTAAGAAATATCATTAGCATTTTAAAAACCAGGTATTGTCTTACAAATGCACAAATGATAGCAAGTGTCTTTACGTTAACAGTTTATTAACATATTCTCTTTTTAGAATTTTATTTTTACTTTTACTTTATCTTGCATTAACACTAGGAATTGGTCCAAATAAATTTTTTATAATGATTTGTGTTAACAGTCAATAAGACATTATCATAGGTGCACGCACATGTACACATACACACACAAAGAAACCAATAATAATAAAAAAGAAGAAATAAATAAGAAATGAAAAAAATAACCCTACATAGACGATTCCTTAGATATTAAATAAAGGTAGTGATCAAGAGAAAGCTGTACTTCTTACCAGTGTCATGATACCCATCCGATCCATCTCCCTAGCTGGGCTGCGTGGAGTGAGTTTAGGAGTTGAGTGGCCACTGGGAGGAGAGGAGCTCGCTAATGAAGATGCAGTTATTGAGCCAGTAATAGATGTTCCAGGATGAACCCTGGCCAGATTTAAGCCTTCTAGGCTCACACTAGCAACTCTGTTTTCTATTTCTTCAGCACGTAGTTCTGTGGATTCTTTTTCTTCCTGAATTAACCTGTAATGATGAACCAAGAAAAGGCAAATCATTTTTATGAGAATATTGTTTTAATATGAGTGTTAATAGGAGTTGGGAATGTTCTCCCTAACCACTACTCAGAATACTTTACATGAATGGCATACTTTCAAAGCAAATTTGAGTGATTACCATGTGTCAGATATCAGAAAAAGACTGCAAGGTATTGGAGCAGAGAGCTGCATATTATCTCTCCCGCCCTTTGTCCACTGAGTTAATATGCTGTCATCAAAAATAGTGGGATGGAGATTCAATATCAGTGCAAAAAATTTAATTGCCATTTTTAAAAATAAATTTGTTTAATAAGTTTAAGTGATATCCAGTAAGAAATATTCAAATTTCTCATCTTTTAATATTTTGTTTAATGTAGCCATGAGTACAAATTGGAATTGACTGAGCTTCTGGAATGATAGTTTACTTTATAAATTTCATATTATTTCCAATTACATCTGCCAGCTGTTATTTGCTCCTTTCAGAAAATATGCTGTGCTCATATGCTTTTACTAGAGAGGCTGAGCAGGCTTTCAAGGCAAGAAGTTTAGCTCAAGAAAATAGCACGAGAAAAAGGATATTATTTTTTCCTGCAACTACATAATTATTAGAGTTTTATAATTATATAGTTATAAATATACATAATTATAAGGAACACGGTGGCTCAGTGGCTGAGACGCTGAGCTTGTTGATCAGAAAGGTCGGCAGTTGGTGGTTTAAATCCCTAGCACCACATAATGGAGTGAGATCCTGTTGCTCGTCCCAGCTTCTGCCAACCTAGCAGTTCGAAAGCATGTAAAAATGCAAGTAGAAAAATAGGGACCACTTTGATGGGAAGGTAAGAGCATTCTGTGCACCTTTGGCATTTAGTCATGCTGGCCATATGACCATGGAGACATCTTTGGACAGCACTGGCTCTTTGGCTTTGTAATGGAGATTAGCACCATGCCCTAGAGCCAGAAACAACTAGCACATATGTGCAAACAGAACTTTACCTTTTAACTACATAGCAAAGAATAATATATCATGTTCATCTTTTACCAATGGGGATCTCTTTTTCAATGTATTAAATATACTGTTCATCAAGAGTAGACAAAATATTAATACTGCTCTAACTTTTATCTCTGATTTTTGCTTGCCTATTCATATTCATATTTCATATTCTATGTGCTTACAATGTTTAGGTTTCATTTAATGTCAACTTCTCCCAGATATTTTAGCTTTGAGAAACACTGACTATAATCTGGTGAACAGACAACTAATATCTTTTAATTTGGGGAGTTTGCAAAAAATTAACCTATATTAATAATTTTTAAAAATCCAGAAGAAAGCAAATGGCAAGCCATTTTTATATTGCTTCAAAGAAAATCAGATGTCCACGAAGAAACCAGAAATCACATCAACTTAGTTTTTATTCCATTAGCAGGCAAAACATTGGATTGTTCTAAGGTTTTATTTGTGTGTGTGTGTGCGTGTGTATGTGAATGAAGTAAGCATACCTGATTTCTTTATTGATTGCATCCAGCTGTTCCTGAAGCATCATAGCAAGGGTCTGAGCATCTGAATGTCCACTGGGTGACAAAAGATCCATTGAACTGAAAATTGTATCTCTGTCGTCATCATCTATATCAGACATTTCAGTGTCACTCTCAAAATGATGGCTGCTTAGAACTCCAATTGGCTGACTTCTATTCCACTCATGCTCTCCAAGGGATTTTACCTATTACAAATTGTAGAAATGTATATAGATTAGACTGATCCTAAATGTTAATTTTCACAGTAAAACTTATATTTTAAAACACCAATGCAATTATTAACACTTTTAATTTTCTCAGCCATTTGTGCACTTAAACCATTCTTGTTAATTTCTAACAGCTGCATTATGTTATCACACTGATCTTAATTTTAGTCTGTTATAAAAATAACAAGATTTATCCTACAAGAGGCCTGAAATAGTTTAAGGCAAGAAATGTGAAGTTCTTTTCTGCACTGGTGACCACTACCACTGTAAGTCAATTTACATTCATAGTACAATATTATGGATATCCCAGGATTATTTAAGATTAAAGGCAATATTTTTAGACACTATACTTTTATAATGAGCCATGGTGGTGCAGTAGTAAGAACACAGTATTGCAGGCAAATTCTGCTGACTACCAGCTGCCAGGAGTTTGACAGTTTGATTCTCATTGGCTCAAGATTGACTCAGCCTTTCATCCTTCCAAGGTCAGTAAAATGAGGACCCAGATTAGACTTTAGTTGGGGACAATATGCTGACTCTGTAAACCACTTAAAGAAGGCTGTAAAGCACTGTGAAGCAGTGTATAAGTGCTATTGCTATTTTTTTTAAAGGCTTCAATAAAATTAAACTATACTGGAAAACTGAATCTCCATTAAGTCCTGTCTATGGATTCCAATCCAGTAAACAAAATAGAATAGAAGCTAATATTTCAAGACAGCCTGAAAAAAATTGCATAGAGCAGAAAATTGGATTAATAAATAGCAAATGTCTCTATCTTATTTCTTCTTCTTATACTCTGATTTGTAATTGTGGTATATGTTTTATACCATATTAGAAGTATATTATTAGTGATTTTGAATACACTGGAATACTATGAAACACATCCCGGAAAACAAATGGCTTGATCTTCTTAGATGCACAGAAAAAGTTGATAATGTTAACTGGCAATTTATGCTATTACAATTAAAATATATGGACTTTGGAGAGAGATTTATTAATATGATTGAAGCAATATATTATAAACAATCAGCTAAGATGATGGTAAATGGAGAGAATTTTGATATAAAAAAGGCACGAGGCAGGGATGTCCACTGTTCCCTCTGCTATTTATACTGATTCTGGAAGTATTAGCCAGAAACATTCAACGAGATGAAGAAATAAAAAGAATGGGAATAAAAAAGAGAACTCTAAGCTACAGGCATTTGCAGACAACCTGGTTTTTATACTAGAAGATCCATTAGAAACTGGACTGAAGCTAGTTAAAAAGATAGAAGAGTATGAGGATAACTATATGAAACTGATGCAACAAATTAAATTAGACCTGGAGAAATGGAAAGCAACTGTCATTAACAGGAAGAATAGCTATTATAAAAATGAATATTCTGCCACGACTATTATATTTATTTCAGACAATACTAATAAAAGTGGGGAAAATATTTTGAGGAATTAAATAAGATAATATTAAGATATATTTGGTTAGAGAAGAAAGCAAGAATAGGTCTGTAAATGTTGCAAGACTCCAAAAAAAGAGGGGGCTTTGGACTGCCAGATTGGGAATTGTATTACCAGGCCTCGATATTAATTTGGGTGAAAGAATAGATTAATTTGAGGCATAAAAGACTATTAACTTTAGAAGGGTTGGCATACTTTCCTATGGTATGGGAAGAACAAGATACATAGTTACTTTCAAAGATATTACATTAGAAATGTGTTATCAGTCTGGCTTAAAATTAAAGAACAATACTACCTGAAAATACCACTCTGGCTTTCCATAATGGAAGCATTGATGCATTCTAATGTTATTAATACGGAAAAAAATGTAAGATATAAAGATATTTTGAATGAAAGAGGGGAATTAAAAACCAAGCAGGAATTTAGTAGTCAAAGGAGGGACATTACATGGTAGCCACAAATGCAGATACAATCTCGGTAGGAGAAAGATGCTAAAATATATGGTTTTAATAAAGAACTAACAGAATTGGACCAGATATTAACTGGAAAGGATGAAAAATTGATAAAGAAAAATATATTATTATTTATTGGGTATTAAACTTGAAAGTGAGCAGGTAAAGGAGACTGATTGAGCTAAAATTTTCAATATGTAATAGAACTAGATAAATGGCAGAAACCGTTGGCTAGAAATGTTAAACTATGTCAACTGCATACGAAGAAAAACTGTATAAAATATTTTATAGATGTCATTGTGCACCAACAAGATTAGTGAAAATGTATAAGGATAGATCTACTAAATTTTGGAAATGTAATCAAATGTCTGGCTCATATTACCATATGTGATGGACATGTCCACAAGTTAAAAAATATTGGACAAAAATACATGCCTAGTTAGAAAAAATGATAAAACAGCATTTAGATATGAAACCAGAAATATTTTTATTGGGCATTCTACCAGAAAAATATGATAAAGAGATTATATATTTGATTTTACATGTACTAACTGCAGCTAGAATTGTATATGCTCAACAACAGAAGTTGGGTTGAGATCCCAAGAAATGAGAAGGTAATTAAGAAAATATTATAATTTGTAGAAATGAATAGACTAACACTATCGAAGATAAAGAAGAAACTAAATTTGACATGGGACTTTTTGACATGGGACTTATTTTATCAATGGTTAAACAATAAAAACAGAAGTTAGAAAGAAAAGGACATAAAAAGGATAAATATTAAAATGGAAATTTGTCAAAAGGGACAAACAAAATATTATTGTCACTATAGTATTAATGTTATTGTAATACATGTTATTGTAAACACCCTGATTGTTTGCCTAAAAATTGTACAATAATTGTACAATGTTTGATTGAAATGGAATATATATATATATATATATATACATATACATATACATACATACATACATACATACATACATACATATATATATATATACATATACATACATACATACATATATACATACATATATATACATATATATATATATATATATATAT